TAGCCAGAAAAGTCTTGGGACGCTTTTTTCCGACTGCATTTCATTATGTATTATTATGTATTATTATTATTATTATTATTATTATTATTATTATTATTATTATTATTATTATTATTATTATTACTTGTTTGGGTTATTCTTCGTCCAAAATCAGCCTGTAGGAGGACATGCCCGACCTCACTCTAGATCTGTTCCGCCTTGTGTTCGCTGCCGCTCTGCATGTTTCCGCTCTGCCTCGAGCTGCTTCAAACTCCCTGCTCGGAGCTGCCCTGCTGTGCTCTGAATTGCGCCGGTGTGCTCCACTTAAGTCGGGCGTGTCCCTCTACAGGAGGAATATTCAAAAATAGTCGAAAAGTAGTCAGGGGACGATTTCTGGACCATTTTTGAATAATTTCGTATATTTTTGAATATTTTTTCGTCCAAAATCCGCCTGTAGGGGGACATGCCCGACCTAATGCTACACCCTGCTCCGAACTGAGTTTGATTGCCTTCTATTTCGCTGCCTTACGCCCTGCTTTGCGTTGCATTGCTGTTGGGTAGCTTTCCATTCTGCGCTGTACTGTTTCGTAGGATTTCTTCGGCTGGGTATTTTGAGTTGCATGTTCATTGCATTATTTGGTTTGCTCTGAACCGCGCTGTATTTCTTTGCACGGCCTTGCTTTGCTTTGCACTGCGCTACTTTGCAGTACATTGTTTCGCGTGACCAGGATTTTCAGTTGTACTTTCAGATTTTAGGTGTTATGTTTACTGTATTGTCTACATGTACGTGCATTGCTCCGCTCTTGCTTTTGTATTACAGTTGATTCTTCGCTTTGCTTGAAATGATTAACCATACGCTGCGTTGCATGCATTAGCGCTGTATTCCTTTGATGCGTACTGCATCGCGTTTGGAATGAATCGTCCAATTTCACGTATACCACATCAGCATGTAGTCGATTCGTGAGCATGTGGCGTTACACTTGAACACGGACTCTTGGATACGCATGTGAGTTTCACTTTTGGGCAATGTCGATGTATCAGCCACGTAACCGCTACGCCAGTTGGTTCGTTCTCTGCGCACGAACTCGGGGCGGTGGAGGTAGTGATAGGTGTCATGTAAGGATGTCGTGGTATCCAATGTCTGCCAGGGTATTGGAGCTCTTCCACATATGGCGCAGGCCATCTTGCCTACGAGCCACGCGGGAACTCAAAGACTTAAATACCTATCTTGGGTGACAGGCGAACAAGGTGATGTGTCTACTCGACGCAGATGCATACCACTTGGCAGGCCGTCAGCGCTGGCTGGGTGCACGATCGACACGTTTTTGTTAGGGGCGTCCGGCGTGACGTGCCGAGTTTTGTTTTGTTTTTTGTTTTTCTGTTTTCACCCTGGGACGTAGCGCGCGCCGTGCCACCTACCCTCCCCCCCCTCCATCACCTCACGCTCCCTCCCCTCAGTGCGTCCTGGGCGCTGCCGCAGTGCGTCCTCGGTACAGTCTGTGGGGGGAGGCATTGCGCCTGTTATGGCCGCGGATTAAAAAATGCGCTTTGCCCTCCAGACGCGTCGCTTCGGGCGCCGCGATGGCCGCGCGCGCGCCTGGCGGGGCAGGGTCCACGCGCCCAATTCCTGACCAGTCGCCCTCTGTCTCGAAGTCCTGGTGGTCGGTCGCCCGGCGGCGGCGTCGTTCCACCCGCGGTTCTCCCCGACGAAGACCTACGTGAAGCTCCTGGACTTGCAGCCCTTGCCTGTCAGCTCCTCGCGTCGTGCCGCCGCGGCGCTGCCGCCCCCCTTTTTGCCCTGGATGGGGGGCGCAGGCAAGGCAGCTCGCCGAACTTTGCAGCGCCCGGGCTCCTGATGGCAGCGGGCTGTTACGCATTTCTCAGCCCCTCCAGCGGGCGTCGTTCGCGCTCGCCTCCGAGGGGGCCGACGCCCTGCGCCTGCCTCGTTGGGGCGCCTGGGCCCCCCCGCCTCGTCGCCCTCGCCTGCTCTCGCCGCCTCTCCAGCGGGCGTTGGGCCCAAGGCGGCGGCGACCCCGAACCTCGTGCTTGACGGGGCGCCGGGGTCGGCGGTGCAACGAACGCCCGCGCCCTGGGTGCTGGCGCGCGCAGGGGCGGCGAGTCGCGCCGTGGCTGTGGCGGGCAGCGAAGGGTCCAAGAGGCCTCGCGGGGCCCGTCGCCGCGGGGGCCCCGCTTCGCCGTCGCCTCCTTTCGCGCCTTGATTCAAAATGTGCGAGTCCCTGTCTGGGGATCTTTTCCCGCGCCCCAGCCTCTGCCTTTGCCCTCGCGTCGGTCTTTCCCATGCGGGGGGCCGCTGGGCGCGCGGGGCCTTGGCCGATCGCGACCTGGGCCGCCCTCGTCCGTCGGGGGGCCCCCCGCCTCGTCGCGCCCCAGCGCGTCTGCGAGGCGGGGCTCGCTGGATTGCGCCGGGCCCGCTGTGGCGGGCTTCGCGAGAACGTCGCGCGTTCCGACCCGGGCGCTCGCGATCCCCCGCCCGTGGCCGAGGCCCTGCCGCCGGCCGCCGCGCGCAGGTGCTGCGCGGCTTTCCACATGCACGCGCCGTCGCGGAACTGCTCGGGGGACTTGAACTGCGGGGTGGGGGCGTCGGCGGCGCGGCCCAGATATCGGGCGGGGAGATCGCGTCGACCGCCTCGGCCAATGCGCGCACCTCCCGCTCGTGGCGGGCCGACGACTTCCCCTGGCAGCACGGCGAGTAGACGCTGGTGAGATAGTTCCCATGATGCGTTAGGTAGAGCCGTCTGCCATGTGGCCGCTGGTCCCAGAATGTGACCTCACTTTGGTCAGCGCGCGCGCTGACTGATCTCGCCTGGCACCCCGTCGACAGCAATGGCCCTATTTCGCGCCGGTTCGGGCGCGGGAAACGCGTCCTCGACCCGCTCGCGGAGCGGTCGGAGCGCGAGCCCGCGCTGGCGCTGCGCGCGCGTCGTGACGACGACCGACGCGTCTTCCGACTACCCCCCCGCCCCTAGGGCGGGGTCCCCGAGCAGAACTTGGGCCTGGACTTCCTTGCTTCGACGCCTCGCCGAGGATCCGATCCCGCAACTTGCCTCCACCTCCCTCGCGATCAGAAGAGCGGTGCCCCCTCTTGTCGCTCTGACGGGGGGAACGGCTCCGCTCGTCCTCGCCCGCGTCGTCCATCCCTGGACTGCCCGTGTGGAGTCGGATGGCCCTTCGCCTGGGCGCGGGGTTCTCCTTGGCGTCGACGCGCCCGTGGAGCTCGGCAAGACGATGTTGCGCGACCGTCTCCCGACCGGCCCGAGGTGCGGCGCGGGCGCTGGCGCCGCCGCCTGGGCTCTCGCGGGTGGAAGGTGCAGCCTTGGAGGAAGCAGCCTCCGCGTCGACGAGAGCGTCGTCGGCCCGCCGCGGCGTGCGCTTCGCCTCGGATCGTCGTCGGGTCCATATTATTATTCTTGCGCCTTGCTGCCGGGGTCGCCTTGCCCACGGCCTCGCGGGTCCAGGCCTCGCCCGGGTAGCCCTTGAACGGCGGCTCCGAGAAGCGATGGCGCCCGCAGTGGGCGACGCGCGCATCGTGCTCGCGGCCGCCGATCGTGCGCGTCGCGCGGCCCGCCTCCTCTGGGCAAGAACGCATCGCTGGCGCGCGCGCGGGGTCTTCGAATGCGATGCCCCGGCGAGCCTCTCGCGCTCGAGCTCAGCGCCCGTGAGCACCACGTCGAGGACGCCGTTGAAGTCGCGAGCGCCTGGTTCGCCTGACTCCCCCTTCTCGTCGCGGGCGGCCCTCGCCAACTTGAAGGCGACGAGGCCGTCGAGCTCGCGCTCGATAGTGGGCGGCGGCTAGCCCTTGCGAGGGCCCCAACGCGCGATGCTCGGGTAACTCCCATAGCGCCAGGCCGACGCGGGCCTGTCGGGGCCCTCGAACGAGCCCGCCCTCGGCGGCGGGCCTCCCTCGCTACCGCTGACCTCTTTTCCGCCCCCCTCCTCCTCGCGAGCTGCGTCGCGGGCTGGCCTGCGCAGAGGCCCTCGGGCCGCGGAGGGGCGGGCGTCTCCGCTTCCACCTGGCGGGCGGGATCGTTCCCTCGGACCCGTCCTGCGGCCTCTCGCACCCGCCGCGCTGCGGCCGCCGCGGGCTCCCGCGCGGAACCGCCGATTGCGACCGCCGGCGACTCTTGGCGCGGCCTTTGCCACGGCCCCGCGCGACTTTGGGGCGGCCGAAAGAACCCGGGCCTGCGCAAGACCGCGGCCTTCGGCACTGCCGTGGGCCTCCGCAGCGCGGCGGGCATCGTGGTCGCGGCGCCGAACCTCCCCTTCACCCTGGTGGCACCAGCGGAGGGGGACGCTTCGCCCCGCCCGCCGCGCGCTGCCCCCCCCCGCGCGCGCGCGGAGGTTGCAAGCGCCCCGTTTGACCCGAAAGGCTGCAGAGCAGATGAACACGTCGGCGGGGACGAATTACGTAACACTTGAGGACGAGATACTTACGAATATTCCTGGCCCGTCCCTACGTAACGCCCAAATCGGTCCCGACGTGTTCTCGACGTGACCCTGGGGGCCGGCGGCACATAGCGTAACCTTTTCAGGTATGTTGCGAATGCACGGATGGAGGGCGGCTCGTTTTTCAAAATGGGACCGTCGCGTAAGAGTTCCTAAACTGGAGTGACAAGAAGCGTTGGCGCGTGTAGCAGCGGCACGCATGGGCGTGGACCAGTTTTGTGTCTAAATGTGGCTCTCGCTGCACACTTCGTTGACCTGTATGATCGTACCTCGCTGCCTCCCTGTGACGCAACGACAAGATGCAGAGCAGTTCCTTTTCACACTGGGGGTCTCGATTGAATGCCGGGCCCTGCAGGGTGCTGATCTTTGGAAGAGGCGATCTTCGTAGTTATAAGGAAGGAATCAAAGAACTCACGACGAGGGAAGTTGGTACGGAAGGATATGCTGCAGCATCGTTGGCTCATCCTGGGTTCATCTTCTCCTCCTCCTTCTCCCCCTCAAGGCCGCAAGCTTCACGGACGCTTCGCTATGCGTTTCCCTGGGCCCTCCCAGGCCACCGTCATCGGGGTCCTCGGCCTCGTCGCTGTCAGAGTCGGAGTCCAACTCGATGCGCCGCAAGCACCTTTCCCGACCCTGTCTCATCAGCGATCCGTCCTCCTCCAATTTTCTTCCTCCCTCCTCCGCCTCCTCCTACTCTATGGCTCCTACTGCTCATATCACTTCCTGTCGGGATTTTACGCTCAGTGTTTCGCGCCGGCGGCCCCATGGACACGCTGTGCTGTGCAATCGGACAACGTGTCGCTCCACTCCGCGGGGCGGGAGGCTCGGAAAAGCTTGCGACGTTGTCGCCTGGGGACCTGGGACGTGGTGCAGCATGTCGCGCCGAAGCGTAGTGGGCCAATCCGGCGGCGCGACACGTTCAGCCACAATTCACGACCGTATTGCCCTCCTTCTCCTCATCCTCCTTGTCATCATGATGGTCACCACGCCATCATCATCATCATCATCATCATCATCATCATCATCATCATCATCATCATCATCATCATCATCATCATCATCATCATCATCATCATCATCATCATCGTCATAATCATCATCATCATCGTCATCATCATCATCATCGTCGTCGTCATAATGATCATCAGCATCGCCATCATCAGCAACACCATCATCGCCACCACCAGTATCATCATCAACATCCTCATCATTATCATCATCGTTATCCTTTGCATTATCGTAATCGTCATCGTTATCATCATCTTCATTATCATTAGCATTGTCAGTGCCATCATCATTATCATTATCATCATCATCATCATCATCATCATCGTCGTCGTCGTCGTCATCATCATCATCATCATCATCATCATCATCTGCATCATCTGCATCATCATCATCATCATCATCATCATCATCATCATCATCATCATCATCATCCGCAATGAAAGCAACATCATAATCCTCCCTCCCCTGGAGAGCGAAACGGCATCGGCAACGGAGGTGTGGAGGACATGGAGGCTGTTAAGAACAGAGAGGGAAAGAGAGAGAGAAAGAGAGAGAGAGAGAGAGAACGAGGGGAGAGAGACACAGAGAGACGGAGCGAGAATATAAATGAACAAAGGAGGGAGCGAGAGAGAGAGAGAGAGAGAGGGACGTGATGTGTGCACATGTAAGATGGTGGTCAACATGGTGAGGCGGAGGAACACGAGATATGGACATCAAGAGGCGAACGAGGAGACATGCACGAAGAGAATGACAAAAGAGAACGACAATAAAGGGGCCCTGGGACACACAAAGAAATCGACACTAATCCCAGGATTCCCAATATTTTCTTATGTTTTCTGGGTTTTCGTCTGCCCCCCAGTGTCAATATTTTCCCATATCTTCCTGGGAATCGACGATCAATTGTCTGTGTGTTTTTTCCCCTCCTGGGATAAACATTTACATATGTCGGCGGTATACACCGCCTGCGCCGCCAGCGCGGGCCGGCACGAGACCCCTGCGATGCACGGAGTTCCCTGGGACGCACTGCCGATGCGCCAGTTGCGAAACCTCCCCAGACATCGGGCGGCTCGAAAAAATCGAGGCGGACATTTTTCGTCGTTTTCGGCCTCCCGAGGCCCTCGCTGGGCCTCGGGGCCATCAAAAATGACTCGGGACGAAAAGCTGGTCCCGGGATGTCCCGGGAAAGTGGTCGGGAGGTCGGGGGCCCATGTCTCGAACAAATCGAAACGTTGGATCCAACAAAGGCCCAAAATGACTCCCTCAAGACGGTCCAGGAGGCCGCCGAGGAGGCCCCCCAAGAGCAAAAAAACAGCGCTTCCGATTGGAAAACGTACATTCGGGGAAATTCATTTTTCAGTCTTAACAGCGGCCACGTCGGCACCAAAGGCTCCCAAAATCGGGCCCGACGGTCCCAGAGGTCTCCAAGGGGGCCCATTTCAACTGTTCCGGTTCCCTCTTGGCCCGTAATAGGGAGCTCAGCCCGTCTTGGGGCCCTCTTCGGGCACCCTGGGGACTCTCTTGGGCTGCTTTGAAACTCTCTTGTGCTGCTCGACGCTCTCTTGAGGCCGTTTTGGGCCCTCTTGGGGGCTTCTTTCGCCGTCTGGGGCCGCTTTGGGGAGCCTTTGGGGCCGACGTAGCCGCCCGATAGGACAAAAGAAACGATTTTCCCAGAAATGTAGGTTTTCCAATCGGACATGCTGTTCTTTTGCCCTTGGAGAGCCTTCTCGGCGGCCTCTTAGACCGTCTTCAGGGGATCCTCTTGGGCCTTTGTTGGCCCGTCCGGGGGCCCATTTCAACTGTCCCGGTTCCCTCTTGGCCCGTCATGGGGAGCTCAGCCCGTCTTGGGGCCCTCTTTGGGCCCTCTCCGACCATGTAGGGATCCTCCGATGGCCCCCTCGGGCCCCCTGGGGACTCTCTTGGGCTATGCTTTATACGAAATTTTGAAATATATACTTTATAGATGTGTATGTATATATATACATATATATATATATATATATATATATATATATATATATATATATATCGGTAGGGAGGGAAAGAGCGAGAGAGAGAAAGAGAGAGAGAGAGAGAGAAAGAGAGAACGATAAACAAGAGAGAGAGAGAGAGAGAGAGAGAGAGCGAGAGTGACGATAGTGGAAGAGGTGGAGAGACGTAGAACGAGAGAGAAAGGGCAATCTATGGAAGGAAGGCAGAGGTTAGGATGAAGGGGCCCTGAGACACACAAATACATACACACAAATAAAAGGATTCCCCATATTTTCCTACATTTTCTGGGTTTCTGTCTTCCTCCCCACTCCCCACATCTTCCCATGTTTTCTGGGAATCGACGATTCATTGTGTCTCTGTGTTTTTTTCCCCTCCTGTTAGGAGGCCGCGCGAAGCCACGCGAGGCCCTCGCCGACGCCGCGGGCGCTCACGGGGCCGCGCGCGCCGATATATGGTGGCGGGGCGCCGCCCTGCGTCCCCCCTCCTTTGCTGGGTCTCCGCGCGCTCCTGCTCCCCAAATTCCTCCTCCTCCTCCTCCTCCTCCTCCTCCTCTTCCTCCTCCTCCTCCTCCTCCTCCTCTTCCTCCTCCTCCTCCTCCTCCTCCCAAAATCCCCGACGTCGTGCTTTCTCGCGACGTGGACCCAGGGAGGTCTCGACTCTCCTTCTCTCGGGTCGGGCGAAAGGGGGGGATAGCAAAGGGGGGGTTTGATAATCAGCTCGCATAGCTGGTTTTCCCGGCGCCTCCCGGCGCCGGAGGCGGCGATGTATCGAGGAATGGGCCCCTCGGTGAGGCCGAAACCAGCTGCATGCAGCAAATTTCGTAACCCCCCCTTTCCCAATCCCCCCCTTTCGTCCTTTCGTCCGGCCCGAGTGGACCCAGGGAGGTCTTGACTCCCCTTCTCTGGGGCCAGCGTTTCGCCCCGAGTCGCTTCCCGGCGGCCCCAGGGCCCAGCAGAGGCCCCCCCAAAGGGCTCAGACGACCGAAAGCCACTGGCCGTGATTTCGCCACGACGCGAAGAAGTCTAGGGAAGCCCTGGTGGGAGACGCTTGCCAGGGCGCTGGTGAAGCCTACCTGGGGAGCGAGCTTGCAAGATTCTAGCAGCAAGCTTCCCAGGAGCTTCGACAAAGCTGCGACCGATTTGCTGGAGAGCTTCGGGGCCCGCGTAGTGGGAACGAGTAGGAAAACGCTTGCTCTCGCCCGCCTACTCCTCTGCCTCCGTGTCCACCTCTTCCGGCTCCCCCTCCTCCTTCATCTCCTCCTCCCCCATCCGTTTCCCTGAATACAGTCAGTTCGTATCATAAGGATACGCAGTGAGGGTGCAAGGTCCTTGGGCGGCCATGTGAACGTTCTTCGAGCGAGGCTGGCCAACGATAGTGGCCAAGGATGGACAGAGTAGGCGAAGATGCAGGGGTGCTCTTGGGAAGGTTGCTCATCCTTACTATGCAGGTTGACTGTAAATCACTCTTTCCTGTCGCACCTCGAGACGTGTCGGTCGGGCGGGCCAGGCGTTTCGCCTGAGACGTTCCCAGCATTTATGGTCCTGAAGGTAAAGTTTGTAGCAGCTTCACGGATGGAGTGCGTGCCGTTTTCGAAATGTGGCTCTCGACTGGGCGCCGCGCACACTCCTCTTGAAAATTTGCACGAGCTTCACGGATGGAAGGCGGGCGGTTCGCCTTAGCGCCGCACGCATCTGTCACAACCAACTAGAATAAGCTTACGCATGTGGGGCGATGCCTTGCCAAAATGCGGCTCGCGCCGTAGCGCCGCGCACCGTCGTCTTAAGAGTTCACAGCAATTTCAACGGCTCTGATGGTTGACGTCCCAGAACTTGTGTTTTGGTGCGATATAGGACTGTCAGGGCGCATCAGTCGCGTTGATTCGCGGTGTGGGGCGATTCGGGATCGTAAGGGCGCAGAGTAGCGTTGATTCGCAGCGTTGAAATCCCAGGGACGGTATCTTGGCGCAGTTCAGGACCTTCAGACTTTTGTTTTCTAGGCACCTATGAGCTGAAGTTGGAGGGAAGGTTTATTGCAACATCGTTACTGCATCTGGGGTTTGCACTGGTCCACTTCGTCCTCCTCCTCCTCCTCCTCCTTCTCCTCCTCCTCCTCCTCCTCTCTCCGCCTCCCCCAGCCGCCTCCTCCTCCCCCTCCACCTCATCCGCCCTCCTCCTCCTCCTCAGCCTCCCTCCCACCCGCATCGCCTCCTCCTCCTCCTCCTCCTCGAACATAACACAACATGAATACTCTCACCTCTCTGCCCCGAAGACGTGCTGAGAATGCCCCGCCCCCATTTCCGCGAATGCTGTTACACCCAGGGTCGGTCGGAGTTGGGTTTTGGTGTGCGAGCTTTTGATCTGAGCATTTTCTGTCCTACCCAAGAGGCGCTCCCGCTGCAGCGGTGACCTCCCTCATTTTGAAATCAACACTTCGCTCCCGTGGTTCAGAATGGCGCTCTGCCTCAGCGCGTGCCACAGTTCGGAATCCGAGTGCTTCCTTGTGTCGCCCCCCTCCTTTTCCCTTCCCCACCTTCTCCCGACTTTCCTTGACTCCTACTGCTCCTGCTGCTGCAGCTCCTCCTCGTTCACCTCCTTGCTCATCCTTCTCCTGCTCATCCGCCAAATCCTTCTCCAATACAGTACAGTAGGGGCCCGACCACAAGAAACTTTCCACACGAAACCCAACCCCGAGACCCCAGGATGTCCACTGTTTTTTTTGGTGTGGGAACGCTTCGCTTTTCCACCGCAAAGCCGTCGAAACTCGAGAAACCGAGGGCACCCTGGAGGCAAGCAGGGCGTCTCTTGGCATGGGCCTCCACTGTATACACAGACCCCCCTTTTCCTGAGCGCGCATGACACGATGGTGTCCTTTCGGGGGCTCCAGGCCCGCCGCGTCGCCCGTCGGCGGCTCGAGGACAAAAAATCAGTGCCATGGGAAGGGATGCGTGGGAGGGGCAGGATGTCAGGGATTTGGCAGCGAGCCCAGGGGGGACGCGAGAAGGTGTGAGACTTCTCAGAAGGCGGCGGGGCTTCTCAGAAGGCCTCTGGCCTGCTGAGGCATGTTCTGAGCCCTCCCCGAAGGCACAGGAAACGCCTCTCGGACGGCCGAAAGCCTCCTGAGAAGCCCCGCCGTCTTGCGAGAAGGCCTTCCCCTTCTCACTTCCCCCCCCCCCCCCTCGCTCGACGCCGAGACATGGCGCGGGTTGGCCTCCCCCCTCTCTTCTCCCCCCCCCCGCCCCAGCACTCGTGCGCTGGCGGCGCTGGCGCGACGCTGGCCTCCGCCGGGCGGGGCGTCGCGCGCGCGGGGGAGGCACCCGGGGCGCTCCGCAAGAGGGCGGGCGATCGACCACCAGAGCGCCGTCGCCCCCTCTGTGTACAGTAGGCACGTACGTCGCTGCCCCGATACGCCACACGCAACAGGTAGCGTAATGATACGGAGCTCAGCACGTATCCCGAACACGCAGGCTTGACCCACCACGTTCGCCTAAGCGTGGGCCAATACGTTGAGCCAACACGCAACGCGTTGGCGCGGACGTTCTGAGAACGGTACGTGTTGCGTATCGAGTCGTGCGTGTCGAGGCGGCGAGCGATGGGGGGGAAGTGACAAGGAGAAGGCCTTCTCAGAAGGCGGCGGGGCTCCCCAGGAGGCCTCCGAGCCTCCTGAGGAGTTCTCCGTGTCTTCGGGGGAGGCTTCGAGAACTTCTCACACAGGGCCCTGGGACTTCCGAGCCCCCTGGGAAGGCCCGCCCCTCCTCCTCCTCCTCCTCCTCCTCCTCCTCCTCCCTCCTCCCTCCTCCTCCTCCTCCTCCTCCTCCTCCTCCTCCTCCTCCTCCTCCTCCTCCTCCTCGCCTCCTCCTCCTCCTCCTCCTCCTCCTCCTCCTCCTCCTCCTCCTCCTCCTCCTCCTCTCGGCTCGCCGCCGATCCGAGACACTGCGAGGGCACACCCCTCGTCGACCCGGAGCCTCGCAGGGTGCGCCCCCAGAGCTCTGCAGCCACATCGGGAGACGAGAAGCTGTCGTGGGGCACCCGCTGGCAGGCCAATCTCCTTTTTCGGTGTGCTGTCGGTGTCTCGCCCAGGGGGTCCCAACGGAATTGCCCTCAGAAGAAGACAGGAGGCCCAACCTCACAATGAGCACCCCGCACGGGCGTCGCGCTTTGGCAGACGCACCCACGGAAGGAATCGAACAGGGCATGACCGTCGAGCGAAACCCGACGAGTGCTTCGTAGACGCCAGCTCTAGCGGTCGGGGTTTCTTCCCATGCCTCGACTTAGCATATTGGCCCAACGCGCTTCGCGCTCGAGGCCACATCAGGGGCTGGCGGAGTCGCCAGAGGCTAGCGCACTGCTGAAGATACAGTATCCGGGATGCTACCGTTCCAACAAAAAAGGAAGACGCAGTGCAGGAGGGGTGGGGGGCCCCGCGCGCGCAGCCCACGGCCCATTCGGTATGGAAGTACAGGGCAGTTTTTAATACATAGAATTTTTGACACTGTATGATTTTAATACATGATTAATTCATTAATGAATTTATGCGTGCACTCATCCTTGTTTTTAGTACTGAATCCCTGCATTTTTAATACATGATCCGCACGCGGAGCATGTATAAAAAACGGCACTGTACACCGAGCATGGGAATGGGAGCGGCCGCGCGCGCGGCGCCGTTGTCCCTTCTGCGTGGGAAAAATGGCAAATGCGAGCGCTCGCCGTGCGCGTGTTGGCGCTTTCATTGTTGGTTTATGCTGGGCTCAATGATAACATAGTGTACCGATGTGCCCACGCACCCCTTCTGCCCTGCCCACCCCTCTGTTGCGCTTGAACCAATGACGCCTCATCTCCGCCTCCCAGCCATGTCCAAATAAACCCATTCTTCTTTGATCTCCGTCGCCCTACCTACCCCCAGACGTTTTTTTTGTCGCGTCGACTTGGGGCAGGACGCGGTCGGCTAAGAAGGGCAGATTGACTTAACGACCCGAGAGAGAAAGCGGAAGAGTCACGGAGGAAGGAAGGTCAGGAAGTCCCGCGCAGATGAGAGTCATCTTTCTGGGCGGTGCTGGCGGACCCTTCCCCAACGATCCGAGAAAGGAGTTGTTCCCCACATGCTAAGCGAGGTTCTTGTTTTCTTTGAACACCCAGCGCAGCCTTCACACCTCAGCTCACACCCCTCTTGTCCTCATCACAGTCACACCATCATATTCATCATTGTGACCACCACGATCACCATCTCATCGGGATCACCATGATCACAATCATCATCATCAGCAACATCCTTCACTCTCTGCCTCACACACACACACGCAATCACTCACAACCACATCGTAATCCCAATCATAATCACCAGCATTATCCTAACTACCACACCATCACCATCATTATCGTCATCCCATCGTGATCACCGCCACCATCACCATCGCCATCATAAGAAGCATAACCATTCACCCTCTGACACACGTTCACATACTCACATACTCACCTAAGAGAAGTCTCGAACGGGAGCCTCATGTGTGAACGAATCCACGTGAGGACGTCTCAGGCGGGAACCCTCTCTCTGCGGGGTTGCCAGATTATGTTAGCAATCCGAGCGGGTCATCCAAAACCTGTAATTGTCGTCGCGCTTGGACTCCTGAGGCTTGAGTCAGGGGGAAATCTCGAGCGGGGGCCTTGTCTTTGAGTGATTTGTGAGAAAGTCTTGAGCGGGAACCCCCTGCCTATGGGGCCGCCAGTTCATGTTAGGACACCGAGCGGATTATCCCCAACCTGTAAAAAAGTCGGGACGTTTGGGGTCCTAAGGCATGACGGTGGATGAACTATCGAACGGGGGCCTCGCCCCTGAAGAATAAAGTGTGCGGAAGTTTCCAGCGGACCCCCCCTCTCTACGGGCCCGCGAGAACAAGTGAGCAATTCGGGAGGGTCATTCAAAACCAATAGCTGTCGCCACTTTTGGGATCCTGAAGCATGAATCTGGAAAAAATCTCGGCCGGGAACCTCATGTGTGAGTGGGTCGTGAGGAAGTCTCGGGCGGGAGACTCCTGGCCGCCAGATCATATGAGCAATCCGAGCTGGTCATCTAAAATTTGTGACTGTGGCCACTTTTGAAATCCTGAAGTCGAGCTGAACTCTTGTTTCTGAATGAATTGCGAAGAAGTCTTGAACCGGAGTTCGTTCCTTATGGGGCCGTGGGATCACGTAGCTAGTCACAGCAGGTCATCCCAAACCTGTGATTGCCCTCACTTTTGGAATCTGGAAACACGAATTTGGACAAGGTCTCGAATGGGAGCCTCGTCAGTGAATGAGTTTTGAGCAATCTTCTGGGGCCGCTTTGCCCATTTGCTTATTCGGCTGGGCCACGGCATGGGCATCTACCGGGAGACGGCGGCGAGGCGGATAAACGCGCGCGGTCGTTGCGACGCAAGGTCTGGGCATGTTCTTCGTTTTCCTGTAGGCCGTTAGCAAATGCAACGCAATCCACGGCGATCGCGACGCGGGTCGGCGCCTCCCGAATGCCCCGAACATTCACAAAACGGGGGGGAACCAGTGCGTTTTACCTTCATGCGTCGGCATGTAAATTCGGTTCACGGCCGTACCGGAACGAGCTGAAAAACAAATTGGGGCTCGAGCAGGAACGACTGGCCACCATCGCGCCCTTCGGATTTCACGCCGAAAATTAACCGTGGAACGAGGGGTGAAGGCCAGGCCGGCTCCTCCGCCCCAGGTTCTTACCACTTGGAATATGGCTGCAGGCGCTCGGCCGTGAAGCGTTCCCGATCAACCAGGAGGTCGCCGACCTCCTGCAACAGGGCGCCGAAGGCACTGACGACGACGGCCGGGCCGAAGAGCGAGCGCGGAGCTTGCTCGTGTTCGGGCCCAGCGAGCAGGAACTCACGTGGCAGAGCTCGGGGCCGCACGCCGTGCTCACCGTGCGCCGTTCGGGGTTCACCCTGACGCGCGCGTCCTACCTCACCTCCACGCTGTCGCAAGGTCAGAAGCTACGCAAGGGCCTCGGCGTCGACTGTGCCAGGGATGAAGACGCCGGCCGCACGGGCATGTCGGACGATCAGTGGTGGCTGCACCTCTACGTCATGTCCTCCCGCGCCACGTGCATGCGGAACGTGCTGATCCTGCGGCCGCCGTCGCGCGGATTTCTGGAGCGTGGGCCACCGGCGTCCTTGCGGAAAACGCTCAAGGAGTTCGACGAAAGAGCGGCGAGCTCCAGGGCTGAGGCCGAGCAGCTCGCCGCAGAGCTTGACTTCGCGCTGCCTCCTGCCTGGGCGCGGCCGCGCCCCGCTCGAAGCCAGCGGGGTTGTCCCAACGGCTTGGTCTCGCGCGCCAGCGGCCCGTGAACTTGCCCCAACAGTGTGGCTCGCGAGGTTGCCCCAACGGCTTCGCGATGTGGCCATCGGAGAACGCGCCTATACCGACCGAAGCGGCGACGGCGCCAAGGGAAGTCGATGCGCGCGCCCTTGGGGGGGCTGCGGAGGGCGAGGAAAAGCAGGATGGCGAGGAGGAGGCAAGGCATGGGACGGGAGGGGGGCCTGCGCCAGGGGGAGAAGGTTAAGTAATGGCGCAGAGGAGACAGCAAAAGAGCCCTCGCAGTCACAGAAACGACGATGAGCATTACTTCCAGACTAACCGAGAAAATTGTCATGCGGGGTCTTACCGTCGGAAAACTTAAATCGCAGCGCGCGTTTTTTTTTGTTTGTTCTTGTGTTTTTGTTTTTTTGTTATTATATATAGCTACACATGTATAAACTGGGGGAAGCGCTGTCGGACCTCGGGGCTAGTTCCGGGACGAAAAAAACCCGTCAGGAGATGGCGAGGAATTCCGGGTGTCTTCCACATGCAACGCGCCCACCCCCCACCACTCACAGATTGTCGACCGCCCGCCAGACAACCGCCCGATGCCCACCCGCCCTTGCACCGCCGACCACGCGCCCGCGCCCACGCGCCACGCGCCGCCCATTACTCGCCCATGGCTGGTGCACCGCCCCCACCGCCCACAATCCACACTCCAGTCACTCACCGCGCACCCGCGCAATCCCCACCACTTCACCACAGTCTCACCACCCACTGCGCTCTGGCCCTCCACCTCCGCGCCACGCTACAGCCAATCACGTAAGGCACACTGCGCACTCACCGAGATAATCCAACACTTGCCACGTACACACCACCCACCGCACCACCCACCCAGCACCCTCGGCACAGAACCCACTCATCAACGCGCCGTGCTACGACGCAAACTACCCGCGACCCGCTCGCCACCCAGTCACTATCCACAAGCC